GAGCATGGCCGGCGGAACCCCCCCCCCCCCCCAACTTTTTGGCCAAAAATATATAATGTCTGAAGATTTTTGTATGATCGGAAATGCAAGAAAAGGAGGGAAGAAGGAGTAGAAGGATGGGAAAGAGAATGTTTATCCAGTACCCGACTGAGTTACATTTTCTCGCAATTCACATTGGCAGATCTGGGGGAGGGGGGTCATGGGTCCTGACCCCTCCCTTGGGCAACAAAAAAAGTGTAAAAAGAAAAAGAATTCTAGACCTACCTTTTCAGGACCCGTGAGCTGATTGTTTTTGTTGTTGTTACAATAAGAAAATTAGAATTTTGAACAACATAAAAAAAAGTCATTAAAACACACTTCAAATGTCGGGAAAGCTCATTTCCCGCCATCTAGGAATCAACATTTTTAAGGGGGAGAACCCCCGGACCACTCTTTGTTTTTGGGATTTATCGATTCATGGCAAAAAGAATACGCATGCAACTACTCATTTGTTTATGTACGTATTATCTGTCTCTTATACACATCTAGATGTGTATAAGAGACAGGTAATTTACACATTGATTTAGTGTCGAATATGGTGGGTTCGAAAGTGAGCAAAGGTGAGGCGAAGTGCTTTTACTGAAGATGCAAAGAGCTACGGTATACTATACAAATATATATATATATATCAGAACAAGTAAATGGCCAAGCTCAATGTTCTTATTTTTTGGCCAATTTCAATCTCAAAATGTTCTTATTTCGATAGTATTTTATATACATCTTACTCAAGAGAAAATTATTATTGTACAGCAGCATATTACTATCATGTTCTATAGAGGATATTGCATAATTCTAAAGGCCAACTCAGACAGCGTCGTACGACGCAGCCGACGCGATTTGTTGTCGCGTCGGGTCTGTGTGAGTTAAACGCAGACGCGATGGTTTGCGTCGGGGGCAGTCGCGTCGTGGAATATTAAACATGTTTAATATTTCTCACGACGGCTTCAGACTGTCCCCGATGATAAATCGGGTCGGGCTGCGTCGGCCAACGCTGTCTGAGTTGGCCTTAATGTAACCCTTTTCACATTAATACTTGACTGTATGTGACTACCTGGATTTTTCTTCCGGTATTTTAACAATATAAACCTCATTTTTGATATTTTACCTCAGCTTCAATTTGTTCTTAATTTCTTCTTTTTTCAGCCTCTGTGTTTAATAAAATAAAATGTTTCAAGAACAGTGTAATACATAATTCCTTCAATTGTTACTGTGTTTGTTACTGTGTTATAGGCCTACCAACGATTTTTAACTTGAAAGTTCTTGGTTATAACTGTTTGATCTACATGCCACATCATAGCAGCTATAAACCTCTCAGAACAAATCCGTTTCTATGTACCTAAACTTTGCAATTTTTTTACCTCGTGTACTACAACATTCTGTCAGCCTCCATTCTTATTAATCAAAACTTACGAAAATTATTTTGGAAAGAAACATCTCCATTATTTATTTCATTTCTTTTTAAATGAGTCACTGCTAATTGAAGAAAAAGTTACTTTTATTGCTAAAAGTTAACTCTGCAAGCTTAGTTCTTTATCTAGGTCTTTCACTTGCATTTGTATTGTATTTGCTTTTTTGTATACATTGTACTATATGTGCACAGGTGAATAAATTTAATTGAATTGCTAAAAAAAATTAGTAGTACAACAAGAATTAAATGTAGACTTACATAAATTATGTTAAGCCTATGTAATATTATTGTTGTATATACTAGTGTATAAAAGTACATAAATGATATTATTTATTTATTATTATTTTATATTTGAGATAAAAAAGATCGATAAATTTTTATGTGTCTGTGTTCCTTATTATGGCCCTCTTTCCTTGTTTGATTACTTGAATAACCTTATTAAGCAATCATTCAATAAAGTTAATTCACGTCATTCATCGTTGCCAACATTAACTTTTCAATCCTAACTGACAATTCAAGTTAATATATTTGCACACCTGGTCGCTTATATCATGATGTTTTGTACAATAATCTCGCTAATAATTTGCTAATTCATGTATTGTATTATTTTAGAGCCGAACTGTGATCTCAGCGCAGCTACCTGCACTACACCGTCACGTAAGTATCACTAAGTAACACAATAGCCAATGATTAGTAGAATTGTTGAGTGTCCATCACACTTTACAACTGACCAATCAGAATAAGGTCAGGATTACGCCCTAGGTTCTACAACAAACACATACTTTTTTGTTTTTGTTGTTTGTTTGTTTTTTTTTTTTTTTTTTTTTTTTTTTTTTTTAAGTTTGCGTACGCTTAACAGAACTGTCATTGTCGTTGGGGTGAGAAATAAACTAACAGTGGAAAGAAAGAATCACCCCAAGGCGAACCAAAAAAATGGTTCCTATTGAAGCACTGTAGTTTAAATAAATGAATGGATGAACAAACGAGCGAGCGAACCAACCAACCAACCAACCAAAAAACAAACAAATAAACAAATAAACAAATAAATAAATAAATAAATAAATAAATAAATAAATAAATAAATAAATAAATAAATAAATAGTATTAATAATAATAACAATATTAATAATAATAATCTTCTTCTTCTTCTCATTGCATAATCCCCAAAGGGGCAAGCAACAACTGTACAGACTCTCAAATTCAGAAGATAAATAAATATAAATAGCATAAGAAAAATTATTTCAGTTTTAGTTTTATTTTATTTGTTTGCTTTACGGGCGAAAACTATCCCATATTTCCCTGTTTGCTGAAGCTCTGATCATGTCATTAATGGTCGTGAACGCTGTGTCAGCTAAGAGAGATCCCGGCGTAAATGGAGCAGTACAGGGGGATGAGTCGAGAAGTACTCGGCGGACAAAGCGATCCTCATCCATTCTCAGTATATGCCC